CATACAACACCGAGGATTCCCCAGTGGTCACCCACCTGAGTACTAGTTCGGCCCTCACTGGTTTGACTAGGGGAGAGCGGACGGGATCCCGTATATTCCAGTGGGTATGGTCGTATGTGCCAGTATCGTCGCGACAGCTCGCCTAACAGATCTGCTAGTAAGATCTCACTGGATGGTCGCACCCATGTTCTCTCCTTTCCATCAGATACAACGTAACGCCATTGTTGTACCCCTTGTGCCTAATTTAGACACAACCAAGAGAAGGCGCCGCAGAGGGTGGCGGCGACAGTGCCGCTAATGCGCAGTTTAGCGTTTCTCAAAGCAATTTAACCCCTTTTGGTGCTCAAATTACCCTCCACACCTTTCCTCACGCCAACGTCTTTCTCCTACAAGCTCGCAATATTCTCTAGTAAAGCCTCCAGAGAGTGCCGCGCCCCTACTCTGCCCTCGGGCTTCTCAGCTGGTCAGACATCATCTTAAGTACCTCCTTCCTTTCCCCCGTATACCCCGTCAACCGCATCCACTCGACCACGCTCTTGGCCCTGTCCGGCACGATGCGGTCCAGGAACTCGTAGTCCCGCCTGATTAGGCCCACGTTGCCGCCGCTGGCCCGGTACAGGTTCCACCAGTTCGTGAAATTCTCCCCGTACGTCTGCCGCAGCGCGCCCCCGTCCGCCGTGCTGCCGAACCCGACCTTGGTGTCCCGCCCCCGCGGCAGGTAGCTCCACACCTCGCGGTGCCAGTCCTCGACGGGCAGGTCGACGTATCGGGCCGGCCTGCCGGTGGCGGCCGTGAAGGCGGCTGCGACGTCGCGACCGCCCACGTGCTCCGTCGCGATGCCGAAGTCGAGGCGGTTCGACTCTTCCGGGTGCGCGAGCGCCCAGTGCACGTACTTGCCAAAGTCGTCCAGGTTGATGAAGGGCACGGCGCCGTCGCCGAGTGGGAAGTGGAAGACCATGACGCCGTCTTTGCCGGCGACGGGGCGGTTGATGGAACTGAGCTGGTCAAGGTACGGGCCGGAGCGGATAATGGTCCAGCGCATCTTGGAATCCTGTTGCGCGTGGATCCAGTCTTGCTCCCTCGAAGTGTTAGTAGCAGTGCGTACGTGTCAGAGAGAGAGAGAGAGGCCAGACACCAACCTTGCACCCTCGCCTTGCCAGCATAGTGCCCGACGTCGAAGCGGGCGTCATAGTTGGACTCCCTGCCGACGTTGTCGAGCCCGCTGTAGATAAAGTGCTTGACGCCGGCCCGGGATGCGAGCTCGAAGAGGCGGATCCCCCAAAACACCTCGGCTTTCTCGCCCAAGGCAAACCCGTCCGTGTTGACCAGCACAAAGTCGGACCGTGCCGCCGCCGACGCGAACGCGTCTTCGTCGTACCCGCTGGCCACGTTACCGACGACCAGCTCCACGTTCGGGACCGCCGCCAGCCCGGCCGCCTGGGGCGAGGACGCGCTGCGCGTCAGGGCGAGGACGCTGTACTGGTTCGTCCCGGCGAGGTGCTGGACAATGCTGGCGCCCTGGGCTCCAGTGGCGCCGACGACGAGGATTGTCTTCATACTGGTGAGATTTGATGTTTTTGGATACCTTAGAAGGGTGGTGAGTGCATGGGGAAGAAGCAGAGAAACCGAACGAACAATGGCAAAGACGCCGGCTGGCAGGTGTTATATACACGACTGTTACAACGACAAGTACGCTTCATATCCGAGTACAATGGCGTGATGCCAACTGCCCGATAGCTCCTCTGTACAGCATCCTGTGAAAGAGCCTCAGAAGGTTCCGCTCCGTTTTACGATGTTCGAGCTGCCGTGCGATTATAAATGGCGTGCACATTTGTCATTCCTCCCCGCAGAGCTGTTCACTAATCACCATCTGCCGAGCCGCAGATCCAAACTCAACACCGGCAGCAAGGTTCAGTATAGTAATCAGTCCGAAGAAATTGTCTCGGGAGGCAGCCTCTATCCGGGGTTCGGCCCGTACGCCGCGCTGGACGCCGGCGCGTCGGAGCATCGACGGCCGTATGCGCAACCGTAACAGCCAACAATCCGCCAGAGCGCCGCAGGGACACCCTGCCCACTCCTGGTGTCCGGATCAGCATCCGGCTGACGTCGCCGACAAGGCAGCCGCTGCGGAAGGGGGCTTTGACAGCGGCTTGAGGCGTGCTGCGTATCCCGATCGGCAAGGTATGCGGTTCCTCCTCATACCATTGGCGGCAGCACCCGCCACCGCGCCTGCACGTCAGGAATGCCCACGCCAATAAGCGCAGGCTACCACAGCGGTCCTGACCGCCACAGGGCTGGGGTTACGAGATGGCGGGGGCTTCTTCAGGGCCATGCTCCTGGTGATCGTGCACTATGCTCACGTCTCAGAGGATTTTATACCAGCGTTTGCGTCCTCAACAATTCAGGAAGACGTCAGACATGCGCGCGTGGACCTGCAGGGCTTTTTACAAATTGATCCGTTTCCTCCTTATGTCGACCCGCCCCAATGTTGCTCAATTATGTCCAACTTCCGCTGATGTCGCCCATCTTCGCGACCTTAAAACGCTGCCCGCCCATATCGGTGTTCGTCGCCAACATCACTTCCTTCCTTGTCAACTGGCAACCCTTTGCCCTGCTTTGTATATCTCACCGAAAAATGGCCCCGTCGGAGTGCTGCGGCGGACTAGAGGCAAACCCCTCCTGCAGCATATTACCACAGCCCTACAGCGACATATCTGGCAAGGGGGTGGGCGCACCCTCACTTCTTTCGTTTTCTTCAAGCTTTCCTCTTTCTGCGGTAGCTAACCTGGATGCAAATTCACTTCCAGGTGCTTATCGCGTTTCTTGGAACGGCCTAACTGGCCGTGGCTCTCTTGATCGCCAGCCATCTCGTCGCATTCGACCTGACTACGGATCCCTTCGCCGCCAATGCCAGCAGTGAGGCGGCGCCCAACCTTGCCACGACCAGCCTGGGCTGCAAGGAGAGGAAGATGCTGCAGAATGTTTGCGACCGAACCTGGTCGACTCCTTGTTTCTCGGCTGGGTCAGACGCAACAAGGCTCCATGGCATGCTGCCGGGGAGGGCTTTGTCAAGGTGAGGTTTCATCTACCTCTGCGCATCGCCATCCTACATACTGCGGCTACCTGATGAGTGGTTGTGCAACTCGTATTATAGTGCATCGTAGACATTAGTAATCTGCAACTTCTCACCGGCCTCGCCATCCTCATCACTGGCTTTATTTCCCTGCCCTGTGGATCGGAAAACGACCCTCCGCCCATATCGGCCTACATTGGCAAATGGTGGTGAACCCTGCGTGATTTTCCACCGTAACCTACCTGACAGCACTTTCTGCCTCCCAGTCTCGCCTAGATTCCAATCGCCCTTCGCAGGTCTACCTTGGCTTTCAATTTCTTATCGGCTTTGTCGAAACATACCTCCTCCTTCTTGTACGGCTTGTCTTCCCTGGGGTAGCAAAATCCTTACATCAGAGAGTTAAGACGCATCCTTTCGCTTTCTCGTAGCATTTCCGTTTTAATTAAACTTGAGACTGTGATTTACTTCGTTTTAATCTCCAGTTACGTTCCTTCCTTGTATCGGTATGGGTACCTTGCAGCATCATCAGCCTCAATCATTTTGGCTGGTTACTACTTAGCCTACTCCACGCTTTGTTTTTTTATTAACAAATATGCTAAAACGGTGGCTTCAAACCCTGTCGTCCCTCCAAGCGTCTCTGCTAGATACGTTTGGATGAGTTTTATTCTCGGTCACGAAATCCTCATCATGTCCTTTTTACTGCACCGAGGTTTGTAGCAATATCATTTCTAGATCGCTTTTCTTTTTTATTCATGCTGTTCATTCCAAGCCGGCTGGTTTCTCCACCCAACGGCCTACTCGCCCTCGGAACCTTGTTAGCCCGGATCTTCCTTCCCATAATTGGCCCGGACAAGCTTGAGTAGTCTGCTATCCGGAATCGAAGTTCGCCCCGGTGCAGACGGGTAAAACCCGACTTTGCCATTAGCTGACACAAAACGCGTACCCTCATGTATTTGCCATATTCGGTCTCCCTCAGCGCGTAGGATGACAAAGCTCTGGATGTGGCATCGGACGCGCCTGGTGATACGCGGGCGAGTAAAATAGAGAATAGTTAGGATTGGCGGCGATCCGAGATCTTGGCGGTCTTTCTCGCATTGCTAAAGACTGCAGGTACATACCCTGTGCACGGGTCTGGCGTCAAGAATTTTGTGACCTGAAGTGAGTCCTTGGATCTTTCCGAGCTTTGAGTGATGTGTGGTGTTGCCTTACTTAGCGTGGGAAGGATTTGTGTGCTGCGGATTCATGGCGGCGTGCGGCGCCGGTGCTAGTGCTAGGTCGTACTGCATGGACCAGGCGTGCAGCTCGGCGCGGTCGTCGCAGCATCTTTAGCTTCTGCCTGGACGAGCACAGCACTCGAGTGCCACGACTAACATCATGGTGATGGCGGCACATCTCAGGGCTTACTGTCAGGTACTCAGCGATGGTGGTATAAGTGGAGGGCGAACCGACCGCGAAATCGACTTTCTGATATCCATCTCCATCGTCCACAAACAACGCCATCCTCTCCACCATCAAAACACTCTTGATACCACATCCAACCCTCCAAACAATAACACTCCCGCAACCACTGAAACCCAACACGCAGACACAGCCGACACAACGAAGTACGGGACTTTCGCGGCTTTCCTCATCTCTGTCGCTCTGCCTACCCTGGCGTACCCGGCCGGGTCCTCCATCGCAGGGCTCGATGCGGGCGCGGCCATCGAGCAGCGGGCGAAGGCACCACCATCGAACAGTGGGACCCCAAACAGCCCGCGCACCCCTATCCCCACATCCTGAGGCCGGGCTTCAGGGGACCGTGGCCGGTGGGCATGCCCAATATCAGGCCTTTCCCCAAGGTGGCGGGCCGGTCCGACGGCGACGCGGCCATCGAGCAGCGGAACCCCAGGAAGAATAATGGCGGAAACCGGCCCCCCGGCGGGCCGGGCAGGCTGGATAAGATCACCATCGTTCTCGACACGACCCTGCCTTGGGCGCAGCTCGTCAACCAGCAGCAGCAGCCGCCGCCGGCTAAGCGCTCCGTCGACGCCGAGGTCGAGAGGCGCGAGCCGAATCGGGGCAGACCCGGCAAGCCCAACAACAACCAGCAGCCCGGCGGGCCTGGCAAGGTCGACACGATCACCAACGTCATCAACACAGCCTCCCTGGGTTGACATGTTCACCAACCAACAGCAGCCGCAGAAGCGCTCCGATGCCCCCTCTGACGCCGAGATCGCCGACATGCTCGAGGCTGCCGCGGCCGGGTACCTCGACGAGAGGCAGGCGCAGGTCGTGCGGCGCGCCGTCGTGGCCGCCATCTTGGCCTGAGCTGGTTGTATCTTCTTTTTTTTCCCTTCTGCCGCCTTCTTCTCTTCTCCCTCCTCTTCTCCCCCTCCGCTTCCCTCGTGATCTTATGGGTGCCCGGCTAGCTGTTTTCGGAATCCTTTCCAGGTTGTACAGCGTTACGGGTTTGCTTTCTGTTTTGGATGGGCTGGTAGCATGGCGTTCTTTTTAGCGTTTTCTGGGATTTATTTTAGCATAGCGTTTGGTGAAACAGGTTTGGTTGCATTCTCTTTGGATGGCGTACGTGCCTGGGAGCTGCTCCGAGAAACAGCAGAAATTTGATTTGTTATTTCAACTAAAGCCAGCCATACCCGTGCCCTGTCTCAGTTTGCTGTCACTTTGCTGTGACCAGATATTTAAAACTGCTTGGTGCTTTTCTGTGTGGATACTTTCACAGGTGGCAGCGCGGCGTTTTCTACGCGCCGACTGTGGCAGCACCCGACTCCTTCGCACCTGCCTTCCCTGGGGCCCAAGGCTTATAGCCCGTGGCCCAGGTCATGGTAGACATCGAACCGGAGACGCCAAGTTGGTGTAGCGGTTATGAGGATGGGTCGAGTCAACACCGGGACCCTACCTGTACTCCGCTGCAATAGCCGCTTGGGTTGATGGTTCGATCCCCGGTATGGGATCGAAGAAAACATCACAAGTGGGAGTTTCGTAGCTGTCGCCCCGAAGCGGCAGCAAGCTTTTTATTTTTTTGCTTTTTAGTTTGCCGGTTTGTTATGCTTTGAAAAGTACGCTTCGTGTTGTATGCAAAACGGCGTGTTTAAACCGGGGAATGTAGTTCGAAACGTGCCGACCGCACATATACCAACCGGAAATATAAATATAAAAAGAAGCAGGTAAATAAATAAATTCTTTAGCAGGCGATAAACATGCCAACACAATTCCTTATATACATATCTAGCTAGATTCACTCTGGGGCGCTTCTTACAGTTTGCCCGCCCACAGGCCGCCGTTCACCTTCTTCTTTTGCGCTTCCCGCTCCCGCTCCTGGTCCCTAAGCTCCTGCATGCTCCGCAGCAGCGCGTAGACGCTCTGCAGCCGCGGCATCTCGATACCCTTGGCGCGGGCGATGCGCACGGGGTTCCCGACGATGACCTCGAGCTCGAGCGGCCGGCCGGCCTCCCAGTCGAGCAGCATGCTGGGCTTGGAGCCCTTGTTGCGCTCGTTGCTGGTCAGGATCTTGTCGGGCGTCGCGAGCTCGGGCGGGAAGGGGCGGCCGAGCACGGCCGGGGCGGCGGCGAAGATCTCGTCCATGACGCCGCGCAGGTGGCGGCGCAGCTCCGGGTCGAGGGCGCTGTCGGCGTTGCCGCGCCCGCCGCTCAGCACGGCCGAGGGGTTGAAGGCGGCGTTGATGACGAGCTTGTGCCACCGCACCACCTGCAGGCCCGTCTCGTCGCCCGCGAAGGACTCGACGTCCCGGATCCGGCCCAGCCGCGTCCACCAGTCGGCCAGCTCGCGCACGCAGGCCGACCCGCGCGACTCGAGCGACGCGGCGTCGAGCTTGGCCGCCGCCGCGGGCTCCCCGCCGCCCGAGGAGGAGGAGGACGACGACGAGGCGGCCGAGTTGACGTAGGGGCCCAGGTAGAGCCTCGTCCACCGGTGCTGGCGCACCGTGCCCGGGTCCACCAGGGCTGCGCTGACGACGGTCACGGCGCTGATGATGGGGTTGGACGGGAAGCGGACGCGATACGGATCTTCGACGCCGACACCATTCTGGATCAGCACAATGCAGGTCTTACCCTCGGTCACGAGCGGCGCGATGGTGGCGGCGTCGTCCACGCGATCCGGCAGCGCCTTGGTCGTCACGATGACATAGTCCCAGCCCTCGGCAGGCGGCGGTGACGCCGTAGATGCTGCGGGGGACGGCGACTTGGTCGAGGCCGCCGTGACGGAGGGATAGACGGCGGCAGGCACAAAGGTGTAGTCGCCAAACGAGTGCGTGAGCATCTTCACGCCCGAGCGGGCCAGCACGGCATAATTGGACCGTGCGGTAAGTGAGACATTGACGTTGTGGTCCGGCTTCGGGAGGTGCGGCGGTGATTGTGAGCTACGATTGACAGAGTCTGGGATCTAACGGGAGCAGGAACACACATACGTGATGCAGCCTCGAGGCGTAGAAGCAGCCCACGGCGCCAGCGCCCACAAAGACGATATTTACCGGCCTAGGGAGCCAGTCAGCCAATGGCGACCCCAACAGTGGTCCAGCCTCGGCAACATGACATGACCTACCTGGACGGGTCCGACATTGCAGTTTCAAGCGGCTGACAGCAGCAGGATTACGGACGTAGGCGCTCGCCGAAGCACCCGTGGCGGCCGGAGCGTTCCAGGCTCTCTGGTCGGATGTCTCCAGCGCGAGATGAGGTCTGCCGCGGAGAAGGGCTCGGCCTAGTCTGTCCTGCAGGCGACCCTCCACTACGGCGTGTCCGGACGCGTCGATGGGGGCTTGCGTGCAGGTGGGATAGGATGACGTGTCAACGGCCTGCGTTGCTTCAACTTTGCTGTCTCCTCGGATGGCTTGCGCCGTTTTGGCGATGATTGGACTTTTGACTTTGGCAATGGGCAACGTCAAAGGGCGTGGTCGAGATTGACGGAGCTTCCTGACCAAACAGCATGACATGACATCCATGGATTGACAACACCTCGGCTGTTCGCGACAGCACGAACCGCGCTCTCGGTTGGGACCCACCCGACCCAAACAGTGGAGCACTGCACTGTGGAGTCAGGCGGCTATCAACCAACGTCGATCTCAACTGGTGTATTTCCCGCGAGGCACCTCCCTTTGCAGCAGCCATGATGCCGGCACTACTGGCTATAATTTGCTCGAGCATGGACAGGGTATCTTGCTCAGCCGTGGCTCGTCCGAACAGGAATACCAGTGGTTGTAGCATCTGTCACCCTTTTAGGTAAACCGAACAAGTGGTGAATCTCGGCCCCAATCTTGGCGATCGCTCGCCTGTGCGATGGGACGGACTCGTTAGCTGGGACTTACTAGAGACCGCCGTGTCCTCTTGCAAAGGAGGGTATAAGTCGAGCCGAATATACACCTCGACTGAAAAGTGGTGATTGGGACGGGTGTGGAGGAGCATTGACAATGCCATGGATTTCCGACACCTCCATCCCATTGCCTATCTTCCGCTAGAAGCGCGATGAGGAACCTTCAAGCGGGGGCAGCAGGCTAGATTACGACCGGTGATGATAGAGAAGTAGACTGGAGACACCCACTTATCCCCCACATCCATGATAATCCGCTCCTTCTCCTCCCGCCTTCTACTTCTAACCGGCTTCCTCCTAACGCCACTAAAAAAAACAAGAGGGTGGGAGACTCGTTTCGTCTCGGCAGCCTCTCCGCTATCCTAGGGCTCTGAAGCTGACACCCCACGGAAGCCCATTATCCATTCACAGGCTGGGAGTGCGTCGAGGTTCAGCTCGTGGCGGTAGGTGGTGGCCTTTACGGATCACATGGACCACTTGGCCGCAGGCCTCGTCGTCGCCATCATCAATGGCTTTGGCCTAGACGGTTCGGAAACTGGTCGTCCACCTGCGCCCGCTTGTGTGTATAGGCTGTCTGGCGTCCATCCACCCACCCTCACATTGTCAGATCACAATCTCCGTTTCGTTTCCGGGCCGCCACCTGCCATGCGGGGGCCTAGCGTCCCCAGGAATGAGGTTGGAGGACGGTCATAGGTCCGGCGCCTCTTCCAAAGGTGATACCCATTCCCCAGCTCAGAAGTGAGCATAGCGCGCATCTCCGGGCATGGCGACAGTCGGGCTCGGTGGCGGAGAGGGGCACTGTCAGGTGGGTAGAGCAGAGAGCTAAGCAAGAGGAGAAAGAAAAAAAAAGCAAGTTCGCAGTCTTGGTTCTATTTTAGGTACGCAACACGCTGGGAGATGCGCGCTGGCGCTCTTTCTCCGTGGTTTGCCATGACCAGGGCAATCACATCGGTGATCAAAGGAGGGCAAGCCGAGGCCTGTAGTGGTAGTGGCCATCCAGGGATGGGTGGGTGGACACAAAAACAGCGAGCTAAAGAACACATCTTGGTGACACAGAGCCAAAGCTCGAGCGCACACACCTACACCCACACCCGTATCAGCCTTCCTCGCAGATGAGAACGGGGGCACTTCTGCTTTCTTGGTTCTCCGTAAACTCGAGCACATCAGCAGCCCCTGCCGCGCGTCCACTTGAACATATTGGGCCTCACAAGCAAGTCACCCCCAAAGGCCACCGCTCGAGTCTGCAGCGGCCATCACGCCTACGCGCGGGTCGTCGGATGCGGGTCGTGGGCGGATATGGGAAAGGGATGAAATGAAGGGCGGCGAAGCTCCCCACCCCCACGACTGTATGTCGTGCCACCGATGATCGTGAGCCAGAGGGAAATGATGCTTGCATTGGTGAACCTGAGCGTTCAACAGGGCGACAGAAGAGAGAGAGAGAGACTGAAAAAAGCAAAGAGAGGTGGGCAAATATGATCTTGTCACACACGGGCGCCTTGCCGCCCCCAAGCGACACAGAAATCAAAACCCCGTCCTTGCGTCCTCCCCGTCACGTATACCCCCTAAAATCGAATCGAAGCGCGCCAGCGAGGATCCCCCACAACAGGAACGCTCCCCGCCCCGCAGGGATGCGCGGTCTGTGGACGGTGAGGTGCAACCCTTTTTTCGCTGATAGTGTGATGGTATACCGTCCAGATTCCCATGACGATATGCTCAGCGTGGGGGGACACCTGCAAGGGTGGTGGTGGTGGCTGGGATGCGCGCGGGATGGGAAGTGCGGCGGTCGGCAGGCAGACAGGCAGCTGCTAGCCCATAGGCATGGCATGCACACACGCTGCTGTGCATCACCACACCAAAATGCGAAAATGCTTGCTAGCGGGCTGGGCAGGGGCAGAATTCGACCCCTGCGCGGAAATAAAGAGGTAATAGAATCGGAGCCTTGCCCATATCGGCTGGTGGCGTGGGATGATCCCCCGCCACGACCCTGAGCCAGACGCAATAGCACACCCTGGAGGAGACGGGCTGATGACGAGAAGTTATCAGTAATGACCCGTTGCCTCGACTTTACCGTATCCTTCTTGGGCATAGAAGCTGATGTGCCGTCAAGACGTGGTTTTTGTGCAACGAGAACAATACCAACCAAATGTCTTGTCCAAATTTGGGCAACCTAGCCCGCAGAGTGCGGTATGATAGCCATCCAGCCGTCAGCCACTCTAGCTGCCTTCCCCTTTTGGCGGCCGCATGGAAGGAAAATTCTGCAAAACCCAAAGACACAACGTAGCGCTGACCTAGCAGCATCCTCGCCGACGAGCGGGTACCCCTTTTGGTTTGACGCAGCGGCGGCAAGTCCTGTTAGTCCCTTTCGAAAGGCAGGCCCGACTGCGGCTGAAGAGCCCCAGGCCGGCTAAACGAGATGGACCGGGAGATCGGGTCTTCTAGAATGCTTGGCGAAAGCCATAGACCTTGGCAAGGGTAAGACAACATGAAGTGAGCTGATGTCCCGCCTTTTTCCGTCCTTGTTTTTTTTTTCAGAAGGTTTGGTGAATCAGGGACCTCCAAAGCGTCTGCCATCAGCAACAGTGAGGAAGCAGCCACCAGCCACGTATGTGACGCATCACAAGTGCCATCAGTGCCCACGATGGGGAATGAATGGCTGAGCCAATGCCGTCCTTGACGGCTACGAGATGGGAATGTGTGGGTGTCAATATATTAGTAAAGGTTGCGTTGGGCAAAACTTTGCCACTCGGCGGAACGAGAAAGCAGGCACCTGGCACGGCATTATTAGTCTTTGGGCAGGTATATGATGTGTATAAAAGTAAGCAATCAAATTCAGCGACAGCGAGATTCACAGCGTTTGGGCCGCATGGGCAGCCCGGTGCCCAATCCAAAAGGACAATGCTACTGCCGCTGCAACCAGATAGTACGCTGCCCTGCGGTTCGTCGGCCTGTTGCCGCCTGGGCAAGGGACTGACTGCTGTTCCCTCCAAGACATGGCAAGAATATAAGCTATGACAAAGTGTGAAGGATGACGTGCGGATCTGTATGATAGAGAACTTGACGAGGGACCTGTAGCTCGGTAAGTAACGACTCCTGTCGGTCGGCCACCTGCCGCCGTGCTTAGGTCGAGGTAACGCGCGTGGGCTTGGCTGTGCAGCTTCGATGTGTCAACAAGGAGTAACAGGAACCTCGTGCACGGCTTGGCACGAGTGGAGGTAAAATCGTAACGCGGCCGCACAATCCAGCCGGGTTTGGCCGCCTTGGTATCCGAGTACGGCCGGTGTCGACAGAACCCAGACTTTGAGAGGGGTGTAGGCCGCCATCTCGAATTGGCCGAGCCGGATGCTGCTACCGGGTCTTTCCGGGACCTTGGGGGTTGTTCTGGGGAGATCAATGTTGAAGGACGATGTGCAGGTTTTAGCTGAGCTAGCATAGACCAAGCCAGGGACATCGGGCATTGGTTCCCGGGTCGGTATTGCTTCTGCATTTGCAGCTGCAGGGCTTACTTGGGTAGGGATTGATTTCAGGCTCAATCGGCGCACACAGGGTGAGGCATACCACCGTCCTTTGTGGCGGGATGTGCATCAGCCTACCCGCCAGTGCCGCACTACAGCCTGTCGTGCCCCAGAGAACAGATCGTATACCCTATGGGTCTTGCTGGATCGGCAAGGGTCTGCCACGGCCTGGGGAGGGGTGTGAATACTTTGTGCGCCGTGGCAGGCGATGCAGGCGGAATGGATGGTGTGCTGGTTTTGGAGGGGTCGCTGTCCGCAATTGGAGCGCCTGGAGAAGGAGCGACAGGCCGCCAACGCACAGCACCAACCTCTGGGGAAGGGCTTGCAGAAAGTCGATACCACCTCCTCCACGCCCAATAATCTGGCACGAGCAGGTTATAGTAGCTAGTACCTTGGGCAGCTGCAGCCATCGATGGCAGCCGGCGCGGGGGGGCGCAGGTCGCAGTAGGCAAGGCCTGCCGAGCCCGGCTTCACATCTTCGGCTGCCCGCGGCTGTGATGGCGGCTAAGGTCCGACGCTGCAACGGGCGGAGGTGCGCTGCCTAGCAGGGCCAAGCCGCATCACGAACCCGTCCACTAAGGCGGGTGATCGCCACTGGCAATATTGACGAATTTTGGGGCATCTGGGAATTCGGGATAGGTGCACTTCAAGGGGCACAGGGAGTAAATAGGTACTTGGCGCGTCGGCAGGCAATGGCGGGATATTGAAACAATGGATCACACAGTCATCAGCCAAACATGCCCCGCCTCGTCGTCGGTGGGGGTGAGAAAGGAAGAAAGGAAGAGACATGGACAGGCGGCAGCCGCCGGGATCTGTCGGCGATCAGTTTTCGGTTTCCTCTCACGCAGCCCAATGGTGGGAGGCGGACGGGCGACAGCGACGAGGAGGCTGGGCGTTTTGTTCCGCCCGAGCTGGCGCGGGGCAACGGATCGGATTGGGGGATGGGTTCTCGGGCCCCGTCTCGCCTGGTCACACCCGGAGGAGCTGCTAGTGTCGCACCACTCCAGTAGGTTCGAGCAGCTGGGGGCTGTCGGGTGATAGGAGGGGGGGGGGGGGGGGGGGGGACAGT